CAAAACTGTTGTATAAATTTAAGCTTTTCTTCATTGTTGTTTTGCAGTTGTTTCTTATTTTGCCATGTGAAAGGCTATCTTTTTGCATTTACCTATCTAACTAGCAAAATGGCTTATACTTTGAGTATCTTCCTTTCTTAGGCCCATAAAATTATTGACTGTTGCTTTGCAAGAAAATATAGAATTATGATCATTGTTCTAGTTAATATTTGCCTCATTATTTGCTCCTTTGTTCATTTCCCCTTACACACTAACTTTTTGTTCCAATATCAAATCATAGTACTATCTTAGAAGACATTTAAAGTGGCAATAGTTGTACCAAGAACGCAGTAACCAACGAAGTAACTATATTGTAACCAGCTATGACCATATTTGTGAATATGCTAGTATGACAACTATGTATGACTTCTGCCTAGCCAATGAATATAAGATGCATCCAAATTTCACTGATGTGAGAAAATAGAGATGTTTTAGAATTAGTGAATATTTACCAGTAGAAGGGAAATCTTATTGAGTACATGTTAAATGAATTGTTTCATTAGTCATTTTAGCAAACATGTACTTGAATAATAGTAGTTACAAGTATACGCAAGACATTTATTCAGCTTAACAGCAGTGCTTGGTGTTGATTCTTTGCAATAATCCAAAGCTCACAAGTTGGAAAACATCATCCTAGATAGAGCAGAGATATGTAGGGAAAAGTTGCTTTTCTAAACTAGACAGTGTAAGAAAGTATTATAAATATTTGTAGTTTATATGTAGTCCTTCAAAATAGTTTGTATTTTAAAATACAGATGGTTATTTATTTTTGGAAGTTGAAACAAATAAAATTGGAGGCAATTTTGGGCATTATGGATGACCTAAAAGCATTTTAAGTAATGTAATCTCTTTAGCCTTGTTGATTTCCTAGTAATTCACTAGAGGGCAGTAGTAAGCAATAAAAGTTTTGTTTCTGAACAGGAGATAGCCTTTTCATACATTCCCCCCCCCCCCCCCAAATAAGTCTGAGGTTGAATTGAAAAGATTGTGATTAAAGATCTTAAAGTTGTGTTGATGAAATGTTTTGTATAATGCGTTATGTCAAGCTTATCATAATCTAAATCTTATAGTTAAATTTCCAGGTAATTATTGAAACTTAAACATGCAATCCAAAAACAAGCTAAAAGCTAGTCAACCAAAACCATGACTATTTCTTTTACTTGCTCTCTTCAGACAATTAAAAATTCTTTAAAAAAATGCTGTATTCTGATTCTATGTTACCACAAGGTATTTTCAAGGACATATTTTTTTTTTTTCTAAAATCGATTACATTAAGCTTTTTAGAAATTCAGTTCAGCTTTCTAATAAATATATGAATTTCATGTAAGGAAACAAGTTCTTATGAATAAAGAATTCATTTAAAATGATTTTTGGTTAAATATTATCTCAAATTATTTTATCAATTTAATAAATGCTTGTTATTGGAATAAAGGTAGGGAAAAAAGAATTGAGTAGTCCTTACATCCTAAATGGGGTACTGCAGTTGTTACTAGTGTGGATGAGGAGTCTGTATTTTTCCAAGTGATTCTGATTAGCCAAGTTTGGCAGATCTAATGATAAAACAATTATACAGATTAATAATGTTGATGAACAGTGTTATATATTACTAGAGGCCCAGTGCGCGAAATCGCGTGGCCCTGCCCACCTGCGCATGCCTTGCCTTGCTTGCAGCCCCACCCATCTGCTCGTGCCCCGCCCACCCACCTGCTGCCCTGCCATGCTCATAGCCCCACCCACCTGCACGCACCTGACTGCACTCGCCTCACCGCACCCACCCGCGGGACTGAGACCTGCCGCGCCCCAGGACCCAGACCCACCACCCCCATGACCGAGACCCGCTGCACATGAGACCCATCAGTGCACCTCCTGGTGACTGGTCGTTTGGTTGTTACGGCGTCATGGCCATGGCTTTTTATAATATAGATAATTGAGTTATAAGCAAGGCACATTTACAAGTTAAGGAAGGTTTTCAGACATGGTGTAATGAAGCTGAGCCTGAAGGGCATTGAAATTTGCTAATGAAGTAAGGTGAGGAAATAGGCATTCTAAATGAGGGTACTGTATGTACTAAAGTGTGGATGCTGGATAAAGCCTGAAGTAATGTAAAATTGGAGTGTTTTAAGAACAGTGAATAATACAGAGGTGTGACATAAGGTTGGTAGGGCTTTGTATGCCAGGATTAGATAATTGGTCTATTCACAAGTCCAGTAATTCTACCTTTCATTGAAAAACAATACCAAATAACTATTCAAACAATCTTGGATGAAATTCTGACATGTAAAAATGTAGATCAACAAAGTAGATTTGCTCTAGAAAAGTAGCAGCAGGTCCCTGCATCACTCACTACCTGCCTTCCTCTCTCCTGTTGTGGCCCTAAAGACACCTACCCAGAATCCTAGGAACTACTCCCAGAGCACTTTGAAAACTACCCTTATTAGTCCTTGAGGATGTTAATTAGAGGAATGGTATAATCTGACTTGAGTGTTAGAGAAAGATCACATTGGATTATGTTACAGAAGATGAATTTGTAGAAAGTGAGACCAACAGACCAATGTACAGAATTTAGATGACCTGCATTTGACAGTGGACTCTAAATAAGGGCCACTTTGCTTCCCAGACATGGGAAACAAAAGAAAAAAATAAAGAAATGGGACTACATGAAACTAAAGAGTTTTTGCACAGTGAAGGAAACCATTAACAAAACAAAGACAACCTATTGAATGGAAGAACGTATTCGCCAATACATCTGATAAGAGGCTAATAGCCAAAATATGTAAGGAACTCATACAATTTAACACTAAAAAAACCCTAACAATCCAATTAAAAAAAATGGGCAGAGGAACTGAGTAGACATTTACCCAAAGAGGACAAACAGTTGGCCAATAGACATATAAAAAAATCATCAGGGAAGTGAAAATTAAAACTGCAATGAAATATCACCTCACAACTGTCAGAATGGCTATTATCAATAAATCAACAAACAAGTGTTGGCAAGGATGTGGAGAAAAGGGAACCCTTGTGTTCTGTTGGTAGGATTGTATATTGGGTGCAGCGTTTATGGAAAACAGAATGGAGGTTCCTCAAAAAATTAAAAATAGAACTACCATATGAGCCAGCAATCCTAATTTTTGGTATGTATCCAAAGAATTCCAAAAGTAATTTGAAAAGACATATGCACCCCTATGTTGATTGTCCCATTATTTATGATAGTGAAGATAAGGAAGCAACCTAAGTATCCATAAAGATGTGATGTGTGTGTGTGTGTGTGTGTGTGTGTGTGTGTGTATATATATATATATATATATATATATATATATATATACACACACACATACATATACATGAACAAAGTAGATTTGCTCTAGAAAAGTAGCAGCAGGTCCCTGCATCACTCACTACCTGCCTTCCTCTCTCCTGTAGTGGCCCTGAAGACACCTACCCAGAATCCTAGGAACTACTCCCAGAGCACTTTGAAAACTACCCTTATTAGTCCTTGAGGATGTTAATTAGAGGAATGGTATAATCTGACTATATATATGGAATGGAATGTTGGCCATAAAAAAGAATGCAATCTTGCCATTTAAGACAACATGGATAGACATATAGGGTATTACGTGAAGTGAAATGTTAGAGACAGATACCATATGATTTCACGTATATGTGAAATCTAGAAAACAATATAAACAAACAAAACAGAAACAAACTCATAGATACAGAGAACATTTTGATGGTTGCCAGATGGAATGGGTGATAGAGGGGAAGGGATTTAGATGTTTAAATTGCCAGTTATATAAGTAGTCTCTGGGATATAAGGTACAGCACAGGGAATATAATCAGTACTATTGTTATAACTATATATGGTGTCACAAGGGTACTAGCTATCGATGTGATCACTTTATAAGTTACATAAATGTCTAACCACTATGTTGTAAACCTGAAACTAATGTAATATTGCATGTCAACTACAATTGAAAAAATTTTTAAAATAAATATTTAAAAATACAAAAGATTAAAAAATAAGGCCCCTGTTGTGAATATTGACTAGAGCAGCATATTTCTTGGGAAATAGTATTGAGTACTCAGGTTAGTATATTTAGGGACCCAAATCCTTCCAACACAAAATAACATATAGAGGGTAAAAATAAGCCTAATTTGGAGGTGATTGGGAGGACAGGGGATTTACTTAAATTGGGTTTAATGAAATATTTTTGCCTTGGCATCTGGTTGAAAAACTAATATCGTACTGGCCTTGTGTTCAAATGATATGGAGAATTGGTAATAGTCTATAATAATAATAAAAGCATAATATGCTAACTAGACTGGACGTCCTTCTGGATCAGGGGTTCTCAACCTGTGGGTCGCGACCCCTTTGGGGGTTGAACGACCCTTTCACAGGGGTCGCCTAAGACCATCGGAAAACACATATATAATTACATATTGTTTTTGTGATTAATCACTATGCTTTAATTATATTCAATCCGTAACAATGAAATTGGGGCTCACCACAACATGAGGAACTGTATTAAAGGGTCGTGGCATCAGGAAGGTTGAGAACCACTTTTCTGGATGAAGCCGGGGCTGCGAGGCAAGCCCGGGTCCCGGGTGCCTGCTGGCGGCCTGAGGGAAGCCCGGGTGCCGGCGGCCGGGGAAGGAAGGCCTACTCTTGCACAAAATTCGGGCCTCCAGTCATTACATAATACCACATATATATCAGACTCTTACATGTTGTGTTACTTTTTTTGAAAAATGGCATTTTTACCTGAAAATTATGTCATATATAGGGTGTCCCCCCCAAAAAAATGTATACACACACTTTAAATAATTATAAAACCAGTGTTTATTAAAATGCATTTCATTTTCAAAATTGAGCTGTCAGCTGTTAAAGTGTGTATACAGTTTTGGGGGGGACATCCTGTATTTAAAATAATATTACTAAATCACATTTTAATTTTGCTTTTTAGGCCTATGGCATGTCGGCATTACCTTTAAATCTTATAAAAGGCACTAGAAGTGCTGCTTATGAACGTTTAGAAAACACTGAAGACATTGAAGAAGTGGAACAACACATTCAATCAATTAAATCAAAAGTGAGTTGGTATTTTATTATAATTGGGAAGCATCAAATTACTTTGTCTTTGAGCTGCTTTCTGATGTGACTTAGACTTTGGCAAACATTTTTGACATTGAATTGTTTTGTAACATATCCTTCAAAAACCAGGCCCATATTTATTTATTTTTACTTTATTTTTTAAAATATATTTTTATTGATTTCGGAGAGGAAGGGAGAGGGAGAGAGAGATAGAAACATCAATTATGAGAGAGAATCACTGAGTGGCTGATACCTGCAATGTCCCACACGGGATCGAGCCCGCAACCCTGACTGAGAATCGAATGGTGACCTCCTGGTTCATATGTCAACACTCAATCACTGAACCACACCACTGTGACCACACATTCACAGTTTGATGTTGACCTTGGTACATATATGTGCATTGTCACATTAAAATTGTTCGTTATTTTCTATTTGTAAATTTGCCTAAGGAGTCAAACCCAACCTAAAGAAGTTTCATTGCTTGATCTGCTAAATCTGATAGATTACTTTATTAAAACCTTAATGGTAAAAACTGTTTCATTTTTGTTCTGTTGTTTGCAGAGCAAAGATGGTCGACCTTTGCCAGCCAGGGATAAACGCACCTTAAAACAACTTGAAGAAAGGTTACGAACGCTTAGGAAAAGAGAAAGGCGCTTAGAATTCATTGAAAACAGCTGCTGGACAAAATTTTGTGGCGCTCTGCGGCCCCTGAAGGTAAATGGGTTTTTTAAAATTATGCTGTCACTCTTCTTCCAAGTTTATATTGTACCTGTCAGAGAAGTTGAGTTCTGCTTCAGAGGCAATACAGCATGGTGCTCAAGAGCATTTTGGAGTTAAAATAATCTGGTTTTAATCACAGCTCTTTCATTTGGTAGTTTGGGCAAGGTGCGTACCCTCTCTGGACTTCATCTACTCATGTGTAATGCAAATGTTATATCAACACAGTTGTTAAATTTAAGTTAAAATATAGATAAGTAATGTAAGCCTATTTTGTTAATTTGTACTTTCTATAAATAAGAAATCTGGGACTCACAATAAAATTTAGGAGCCCTAACTGAAAAGTAATAGACTTTTTTTATCGTTAGATGATACGTGGCGAAAACTATGTAAAAAGGTATTATTTGAGATGGAAAACCATTACTTTTTTTGGGTGGGGGCATTATTTGCTAGCCTTGAATTCTTGGAAGTACGGTACCTAAACATAAGTATCTAAATTGAGGCCCTGGCTGGGTAGCCCAGTTGATGAGAGCATCATCCTGATATGCCAAGGTTGGGTGTTCAATACTTTATCAGGGCACATACAAGAAACAGCCAATGAAATGCATACAAATAACTAGAGGCACAAATCAGTGTTTCTCTCTCCCTTTCTCTTTCTTTCTAAAATAAAAATAAATAAAGCTATGCTTATTTTAAATAAATAAATTGAATTAAGGTGATCATAATATGACCCTGAGTCTAAAAAGTAACTAGAACTGCTGGCCACAAATTTCTATATGTGCTCATTCTGTATTTGGCATTTCAAACACCAGGGCTTTGTATACCATAAGTGTACAATGCCAGTTGTAATTCAGAAAGTGCAGTGCATAGACTGTTTTGAGTACAGTTGGGCAAAACGAAGCTAGAAAATGGTTTTTGGCTAAATTTTTTAAAAAGATGTTTTATAGAACCCCCTCAGAGATCAGTCAGGTTGAGTTCTAATTGCTGCTTTGTCTTCCTCTTATAATTAAAAAGGAAGTGAGGAAATGCAGGGACTGCTCACCCCAAAACTCCTCTTTTAAAGAGTTTCTCAAAAATTACCCTGTTACAACATGGAGGGACCTGGAGAATATTATGCTAAGAGAAATAAGCCAGTCAGAGAAAAGACAAGTATCACAAAATCTCACTTATATGTGGACTCTAATGAACAAAATAAACTGATGCACAAAAAAGATCCAGAGACATTGAAGCATGCAACAGATTGAGGTATTTCAGAGGGAAGCGGGGAGAGAGGGGAGGAAGAGATTAACAATGAATTTATATGCATAGCAGTGGACAGACAATAGTGCTAGTGGTGGGATGGTCTGGGAAGGGGACTGGAACAGGGTGGATGGAGGGAGTCAGTGGGGGGATGGAGGAAGGAAAGGGGCATCTGTAATACTTTCAACAATAAAGATTAAAAAAACCAACATAATCAGTTCTATGTATCATGAGTTTAAACTTCTGTTAGAATACTTTGTTTTTAATTCACCCTAATCCTTTTTTCCAAAGAGATTTGTCTTATAGTAGGAAAGGTTTGATGAAGCCTTCCCCAACCTTATCTTACTTTTAAATTGTAGCTTCTTATAAATATTTATAACCAATTTGTAACATTAACTGTCTTGTTTTAAACATGCTGTATGTTCCATTTCACTGAACATATGCTTAGAGGGATTGATTTTACCAAATATAGGTTCTATATATAGAACATCTACATCACCCCAAAAAGCTACTTTGTCTCCCCCTGCTTCCTTGAGCACAGACCCCAGACAACCACTAATGCCCTTTTGTCTCTATACTTTAGTTTTATGTGTTCTATAATTTTGTATAAATGAAATAAAAATGTATAATCTTTTAACAGTTTATAGGGGAGTGTATAGTTTTTTTGTCTGGCTTCTTTGGCTCAGCATTATGTTTTTGAGATTCATCCATGTTGTTGCATTTTTTTAAAAAGTGGTTCGTTCTGTTTTATTGGTAATTAGCATTCCAGTGCATATCTATGTCGCAATTTGTTTATCCACTTATCTGTTAGTGGATTTCAGTTGTTTCCACTTTGAGACTATTATGAATAATGCTGATGTAAACATTTGTGCATAAATCTTTGTGTAGATATGTGTTTTCATTTCATTCATGTTTTTTCTTGGGTAAATACCTGAGTAGAATTGCTGGGTCTAATGTTCAACATAGGGTTAAGTTTATAAGAAACAGACAAAATATTTTCTAAAGTGGTTGTACCATTTTGCATTCCTATAGCAATATATAAGATTGCTAATTTCTTCATATTCTTGTCCACTGTTTGCAATCGTTTTCCTAATGGATATGTAATAGTAATTTGCATTTCCCTGATGACTAATGATATTGAACATCATCTTATATTCTTATTGGCTATTTACTTATATATCTTCTCTAAAATGCTTGTTTGGCCATTTTAAAAATTAGGTTTTTGTTTTATGAGTGAATTACAAAAATTCTTATGTATTCTGGATCAAGTACTTTGTCTCCTAATTTATGGCTTTTTTGTTTTGTTTTGTTTTTTTAACACTGTCATTCAAAGAAATGTTTTTAAAACCTTTATAGAAAACATTTTATCCTATATTTTCTCCTAGAAATTTTATAGCTTTAGCTCTTGTATTTAGGTTTGTGGCCCATTAAAAATTAATTTTATGGGATGGTATGACCTATGGGTCAAGGCTTATTTTATTTTCCGTATGGACATCACCATTTTTTTTTCTCAAGACTATTCTTTGCACTTTGAATTTCCTTGGCAATTTTGTCAGATCAATTGATTATATATATGTGTGTGAGGGTCTGTTTTGGACTCTGACTTTGGCTTCATTGATCTATATGTCCTTATGCTAAAACTTTATTACTGGAGCATTCAAATCAGTCACGAAATCAAGTAGTGTAAATTCATCAGTTTTGTTTTCCTTTTTCAGAATTGTTTTAGCTGTGCATAACCTTTGCATTTCCATATACATTTTAGAATCAACTCATAATTTCACAAAACACCCACAAGAATTTTTATTGGTATTACTTTGAATCTATAGGTAAACTTGGAGATCATTGATATCTTAATATTGAATCTTCCAATTCATGAACATATCTATTCATTTATTTATGTTATCTTAAATTTCTCCCAGCAGTCATTTGTAGTATTAAGTGATTAGGCCTTGCAAATATTTTGCTAAATTTATCTATAAGTATGTCTTTATTTATATTTTTACAAATGATTTTGTTTAATTTTAATTCTCAATCATTTGTTGCTATTATGTAGAGGTTTGCTTTTATACATTGTACTTGTATCATGCAACCTTGGCTTTAATATTAGTTTCTAGTAGTTTTATAGATTCCTAAGGGATTTTTAAGTACATGATCAGATAAGCTGCTAAAAGATAGTTTTACTTTGTTCTTTCAAATATAAGATTTTCAGTTGCTTTTTTTCTCTTACTGCACTGGCTGAAACCTCCAATACAGTTTATTATTTATTCATTTTGCTGTATAAGTGTGTCATTCCTGATACTGATCTAAATTCTTACCTATCTTTCCATTATCTAGTTCCAATTTAGGAATAATTAGTAATAGGGATTCCTGAAGGGAATATCTGGGGATACAAAATTACTGTTATGTATTTGAAGGGTTAACATGAATGCCAAGAGATAAATGCTGCTTTTTTTGCTCAAATGAAATATGAAAATAATTTATTATTCATTACTACTGTGTTTGTCCACAGTTGATGTAATTCAGAAATAGGAAGCCACATGCTATTAGTGCTTTTTTTTTTTTTAATAATTCTTTATTGTTGAAAGTATTACATATGTCCCCTTTCCCCTGCCCTCCATTGACCTCCTAGAGTCCTCCCCCCACCCCCAGGGCCTTCACCACCCTATTGTCTGTGTCCATGGGTTATGCATATATGCATACAAAGTCTTTGGTTGATTACCTCCCTCCCCTCCACCCTCCTCCTCCTTCCCTCCTAAATTCCGCACTCTGTTCCATGCTTTCATGTCTCTGAATCCACTCTGTTCATCAGTTTATTTTGTTACTGAGTTTCCACATACGAGTGAGATCATGTGATACTGTCTTTCTCTGACTGACTTATTTCATATTGGTACTTTTAAACATTAGCATCTAAGTAGTCCTTGTGGAAGAAGGTAGAAACAGGTCCATTCACCCCTTTTCAGTGCTCCATATATACTGAAGATGATTTAAGACTGGTGAGAGCCCTAGCCGGTTTGGCTCAGTGTATAGAGTATCCACCTGCAGACTGAGGAGTCCCAGGTTCGATTCCAGTCAAGGGCACATGCCTGGGTTGTGGGCTCAATCCCCATTTGGGGGTGTGCAGGAAGCAGTTGATCAATGATTCTCTCTCATCATTGATGTTCCTCTCTCTCTCTCTCTCTCTCTCTGTCTCTGTCTCTCTCTCTCTCTCCCACCCCATCCTCTCTGAAATCAGTAAAAATATATTAAAAAAATAAAAGACTGGTGAGAAACTCCTGATACAAAGTTTCTTTGAAGTTACCGTCTGTCTCAAAATTTTGTAGTAGTAATGCCTTTTACTCTGTGCTATAATCCATGTTTGATGTATTATAAGTTGTATTACATTTGGAAATTTGAAAATGCAAAGGTTGAGTTATATACATTATTTTTCATAAATCATCTCCATTGCCCATTGATCTTGTGATTTCACATGGCCATGTACTCCTTAGGAGGTGCACGTCTCATTTCAGAAGCACGGGAATTCAGTGCATAGACTTATATTCTTAATGGAATTATATTCTTAATTTTATTTTCATTGTAGGAATTAAGTAAAATAATGTATGCTCTTCATTGCCTTTTGATATAAACAGCTCAGAAAATTGCAGCTGCTATCGTTATAGTTCTAAAGTTAGGATTTTTCAACTTCTTAAAAATACTGTCATGTAACTCAAGGGAGAAAACTAGTTTTGTATTGAAGACGTAAAAATAGGCATCTAATTAGA